GATGTGAGAGAAACACATCGATTGGTTGCCTCCTGCACGCGCCCCAACCAGGCCCCGGGCCGGGGAGGAACCTGCAACCTAGGTACACTCCCTTGACTGGAATCGAACCCAGGACCCTTTGGTCTGCAGGCCGACACTCTATCCACTTAGCCAAGCCGGCTAGGGCTCCATTGATTTTTAGAGAGAGTGGAAGGGAGGGGGAGAGACACAGAGAGAGAAACATCGATGTGAGAGAGACATATTGATTAGTTGCCTCCTACATGTGCCCAGACTGGGGCTGAGGGTCGGACCTGCAACCTAGGCGCAGTTCACTACGTTTGTGGATCTGGTGGCTGCTGACCTCTGTGAAGAGAGAGCCGGCTTTCCCGTCGTGTGTATTTCGCTGCCCCCACTTCCGGCGGCTCCCTCGCCGCTCTGTCTAAGAAATTAAGTGCCCTGAGATATGTTCGTTCAACATTGCGGCTTCAGAGTTATATTTCCTGGATCTCACGAGTGCTTAACAGTTTAATCGATCCCACTTCATTGCTTCCTTTTTCCTTAGAGCGGCCGTATCGAAAGTGATGGTGTTTTCCCCGCAGTCATAACTCAGTGGCCTCGCCGCCTTTTCTCTTGTGTTCAGACTTGAAAGTAGGCGCCATTCCCACGGGTGCTGCGCCTGCTCAGCGGGGCTGAGGCTCAACCCCCATCAGAGCCGCTCCTCTGTCCCGGCCCAGATGTTAGTGTCTCTCTCTCTCTCTCTTTTTTTGTTGTTGTTAATCCTCGCCCGAGGATATTTTTCCATTGATTTTTAGACAGAGTGGAAGAGAAAGGGAAAGATAGACAGAAACATCGATGTGAGAGAAACACATCGATTGGTTGCCTCCTGCACGAACCCTGACCAGGGCCCGGGCCGGGAAGGAGCCCGCAACCAAGGTCCGTGCCCTTGACCGGAATCAAACCCGGGACCCTTGGGTCCACAGGCCGACGCTCTATCCACTGAGCCGCACCGGCCAGGGCTCATCTCCGTTGTAACCATGAACGGTCTTTCCTCCTCAGCACTTGATCGTGAGCAGAAGCGATGAGGGGTTCTCACGCATGGCCGTCTCACCAATAACTGCTCAGCGCCCGAGCTCCCAACCTGTCTGCTGCAATAAAATTTAAAAAAAAAAAATTGTACCCTTTTGTCAGAGCCTCATTAACAGGCCGGCCTGGCAGGCGGCCCTCAACAGGACGCCCTGCGGCCGTCTACCGTGCCCAGCTGCGCGGCCCGCGGCCACGTACCCCATGTCACGTGTCCCCTGTCGCCCCTTTCAGGTAAAGAAGCAGATCTTGGATGAAAAGATCTACTGCCCGCCCGAGGCCTCGGTGCTGCTGGCTTCGTACGCCGTCCAGGCCAAGGTAGGCGCCAAGGGGAAAAAATCAGCGTTGCGGGGCAGGGACCTGTCCGCGGGGCCGCGCCAGTCGTCTGGTTCTTGGGGTTTCCTAGACGTTAGGGAGGCTTTCCCCGGCAAGGGGGAAGGCCCTGGGGGAACCAAGTCTCACTTCTGTATGGTCTCGTGAGTGTGTGTGTGTGTGTACAAATAAGTGTGTAACTTGGTAACTTTTCTTTGTGCTTTCATTGTGCACATGTGGTTCCTTACATTTACTGAACCAACCTCTCTTTTTTCTTTTTTCTTTCTTTCTTTTTTTTAAAACATATTTTTGTTGATTTCAGAGAGGGAGGGGGAGATAGGAACATCAGTGATGAGAGAGAATCAGTGATTGGCTGCCTCCTGCACGCCCCCCCCCGGGGATCGAGCGTGCAACCCGGGCATGTGCTCTGACTGGGAATCGAACCGTGACCTCCTGGTTCATAGGTTGACGCTCAACCACTGAGCCACGCCGGCTGGGCCCAACCTCTCTTATTATTAACCAGGAAAAAGGAATTTATGATCTCCAGTGTGGGCCAAACATGGCCTTTAGGTCAGAAAGGCCCAGGTCCTCACTCCCCACTCATCTTCTGTGGACCAGCAGCCCTGTTGGATGGGGACCTCACCATCCCCTAGAAGGTGGCCCGCTCCATGCACCCCTGATGGGCATGCCACCCTGCTCACGGCTGGGCACTGCAGGCTCCTTGGCCGCTGAGCCCAGCCGAGCTGTCCGGCTAGCAGAAAGGCATTCCCAGTGACTGAGAATGGCAGGAAAGGGAGACCAACGATCTTGTGTTTTTGTCCTCCCTATTTCTATAAGACCAATGACAGGGCCAGCCCACGGGGCCTGAGGTCCCCCTAATTTCCATTTCAGGCACGTGCCACTTTCTCTCGTCCCCTCTGCTCACTCACGGCCTTTCACCGCAGCGTGTAAAGAAGTCAGAATTAGGGCGTCTTGATTACTTTTTTTGTATCGTCTTTTGCTGTTGTTTTCCTTTGTAGTTAGAGCTGTCCCTGAAGCCATATCCCTGCAGTGTTACAAAAATTAATAAGACGCTCTTAACTTCTCAGCCTACTTTTTTTCTGGAGTAGCTTAATGCGATCTCAGGTCAAAGTCAGGAAGTAACCAATTAGCCTGTCACTTGGAAGAGAGAAGAGTGTGTACACGCTACTCAGACCGACAAGCCCCGGAGTCATTCGGTGACTCGGAGTCATCTGATGACTGTGCTAATGGTCGCAGAGCGTTCCCTGGCCGGCCCGAGTGGGTGTGGATTCTGTCACAATACAGACTACGGCCACGTGCCCAAGGTCATCCGGGCGATCTTGGGGTAAAGCTAAAGGCAGAATTCGTGGCCCTGGGATTACGTTTTGTGCCTCCCCCTATTCCACTGCCCAGAAAAATGAGTAATTGGAGGGAGGAAAAAAGAAAAAAAAACCACAGAAAATGGGCCTTGATTCAACTAAGACATATGCTTCCTTTTATGCTTTGATTAAGAATATTAATAACAGGAAAAAATGTGCCCTTTCAATCAGGATCACCCTGACAGTGATGAAGCAGTCATTGTCGCTCTCATTAAATCCGGGCACTTCCTGGCCCGGAACGGAGTTCCTGTTCAGCACGCTCTCTCCCCAGCTGAGAGGAGGCCCGGCCCCCAGCTCTCAAGGACACCACCTCTCCCTGCAGGGCTTCCGTCTCAAAGGCAGCGTTTTCTTTGCATGGATTTTGAGGCACAAATTCAAAGGCCACCCGTGTGTGTGTGTGTGTGTGTGTGTGTGTGTGTGTGTGTGTTGTGTGTGTGTGTGTGTGTGTGTGTGTGTGGTGCGGGGGGCGGGGGGGGCGGACTTGTCTTGGACCAGCAGATGTTTGCTTAAACAGATTTCACCGTAGGAAAGCCCTACTCATTTAGAGATGAAAGTGATTCACAGAGCACATATGTGGCTCATATGGAGGAGGAGGTTCTGGTTTTTTTTTCCGGTGTAAATTCTCGGGCTCTCATAAATAAAGCGCATCTATGACTTCAAGTCTGCATTTGGGAAACGAAGGATGATTTTAACATGCTCCCAGTTTCCAGGACGGCTGGTTAATATGAAGAGGGCATTTCTGATGATGGTATTTATAAGATCTTAGATGCCTGTAGTGTTTTATCGTCTTACAAAGTGTTACAACGTGCGTATTTTGTGCGATTCTCAGTGTAGCCTTTGCCATAAGCCAGGGCGTGAAAGTATCTTGCCTGTCTTATCGGTGGCGAATTGAAGGCTCAGAAAGGAGTAATAATTTGTTTAAAGTCACAATACTTTATGTTAATTTTTAAAAAGTTTTCATTGATTTCAGAGAGGAGGGAAGAGATAGAGATAGAAACATCAATGATGAGAGAGAATCATGGATCGCCTGCCTTCTGCACGCCCCCCACCGTGGGGGTCGAGCCCGCAACCCGGGCATGCGCCCCGACCGGGAATCGAACCGTGACCTCCTGGTTCACAGGCTGATGCTCAGCCACTGAGCCACACCCGCCGGGCTGGACCTGGGATTCAGTGAGCGGCATGTGTGCTGCCGGGAGACCTCCCTCAAGCCACTGGCCGTGAGGGGCAAGAGCAAAGTGCGGAGTCCGGCAGTCAGACCCCAGGTGCCCCATCCTGACTCCGTCCTCTAGTTCCATCTGCTTCAAATCCTGCCCACCCAGTTGTGGGCTACAAATTCCATTAAAAAAAAAAAAAAAGAATTAGCCTGGCCGGTGTGGGTCAGTGGTTGAGCTTCAACCTGTGAACCAGGAGGTCAAGGTTTGATTCCCAGTCGGATTTTAGGCAGATTTTTTGGTGGCTTACGGAAGGACATATTGGAGGGGAAGGCAAGTTTGGGAACAGGGAGCCCTGTTAGCAGACTGGGGTCCTCCCAGGGAGAGACTGTGAATGAGGTTCACAGCCCGGGCAGCGGTGAGTTGGAGGGGAGGCGCTGACTTACAGAAACCCAGGCGGGCCTAACTGGTTTGGCTCAGTGGATAGAGCGTCGGCCTGCGGACTGAAGGGTCTCAGGTTCGATACTGGTCAGGGGCATGTACCTTGGTTGTGGGCACATCCCCA